TGTTACCCAGGCTGGAGTGCAATGGCACGATCTCGGCTCACCGCAACCTCCGCCTCCTGTGTTCAGGCAATTCTCCTGCCTCAACCTCCCGAGTAGCTGGGATTACAGGCACGCTCCACCATGCCCAGCTAATGTTTTGTATTTTTAGTAGAGACGGGGTTTCACCTTGTTGACCAGGATGGTCTCAATTTCTTGACCTCGTGATCCACCCGCCTCGGCCTCCCACAGTGCTGGGATTACAGGCTTGAGCCACCGTGCCCGGCCAGCGAAGATAACTCTTAATGCTCATTCTTCATCCATTTATGTTATATTGAAGTCATAAATTTACATTGATGAGCACAACTGGCATTAACAGGCTTGGGAATAAACACAATGACGAGTAAGTACACATCTCAACTGGGAGGGCAAAAGTTCATGGGCATACCAAGGAGAGCTTGCTAGCTGGAGGCATTTGAAAAGGACTGTAGAATGATGGTTAATCTATGCATTGGTTAAACGGCCTAAAGAGATTTTCTACTATGATACATTTTTATTGGTATGCATAGTAGCAACTCCTAAAGAAGATTTTTGTAAAATGTTTTCTGGTACAGGTCTTGCACAACTTGCCTTAATGAACTGCCAGTGTTTACTTATAATCAGCAGACTCTGTCTGCAAACATAATTGGTGTTCTGAAGTATTTTTTTTCCAACAGTCTAGTTTACACTTTGGTACTATAATTGATTTATCAGACTCTTTTTTTTCTTAGATGGGAAGAGATAATGTTTTGATTTACTCATAGAGTTACCACAATTTTTAAATTAATGACTTGGGAATTTAATGAGCTCTTCTTTTATTTATACATGCTAGAAATGCTAATATCTCTGTTAATGTTTTTAGTTAATTTTTTGTTTTGAATACTGGTAGTAATAAAGTATGATATGCCAAGAATCGTTTTAAAAAGAAAATAAATAGATATTTTTCTTATTGGTATTGTCGATATGTTTGGAAAATTTTACAGCTGAGAGAGAAGCATGCCTGTGAATGTGTGTAAATACATGTAAATACACACAGAGGCAAAGAGACACAGAAAGAGGCAGAGACAGAGAAGGAAAGAGATAGGCAAAGAAAGAATAAGATACAGGGAGATAGAGTTATGGATTATGTGTCTGTGTCTGTGTATGAACACAAACAAAAAGAGACAGAAACAAACAGAGAGGTGGAGGTAGGGCCACCACAGCAATGTTGCTCAAGATTAGTTCCAACTCTGCCCTTAACAGAACAGTAGGGTACACAGATGTGGAGGTCAGAGGCCTTGGGGAAGCAGGACAGAAAAACAGGCTCAGGTCCCACCCACCAGGAGACAGTATCCTAATAGGCAGTATCAGATATGTGAGTAGGTCACAACCTAGGCATTAATTAGGTGGCCCTGCACCACTTGCTGATATTTGTTAAATGTGTTTTTCGGCTCTAAATGGTTTTAATTTTTTTTTTGCCTACAGAAAGGTACTGAAGGAAATCTCTGTTGGAGAACTAAATCCAAATGAAACTGTGCAGGCCAGTTTGGAAGCCCGGCTCCTCTCCAAGCTGGACCACCCAGCCATTGTCAAGTTCCATGCAAGTTTTGTGGAGCAAGATAATTTCTGCATTATCACGGAGTACTGTGAGGTGAGACTCTCCTTTTCTCTTGGAAGTCTTTATAAAAATATGTTGCATGGTAAAAAGCCTTCTGTAAAGAGATCTTAAAAGTGCAAGTATTAAACCATAAATTGAACTATAAAGACCTGGGATACCATGTCTTGCAGCTAGGAATGATTATCTCTAGATAACTGACAAAAGTTGTTTCTAAGGAAGGGTTTTCCTTCCGCTGGCAAACTAAGTAAAAACGAATATTTTAAGGAGGAGGCCGGGAGTGGTGGCTCATACTTGTAATCCCAGCACTTTGGGAGGTCAAAGTGAGAGAACTCATAGTCCAGGAGTTCAAGACCAGCCTGGGAAAGAGTGAGACCCCCATCTCTACAAAAAAATTAAATTAAAAAAAATAGCAGGGTGTGGTTCCATGAGCCTGTAGTCCCAGCTAGCCGAGAGACGGAGGCAAGAGGATTGCTTGAGCCTAGCAGTTCAAGGCTTCAGTGAACTGTGATTATGTCATCGTGCTCCAGCCTGGGCAGTGAGTAAGACCCTATCTCTAAGAAAAAACAAAAAAGGAGAAATTGCTGCAGAAGAATGCTTCAACACTTTTTTGATAGGGGGAGGGGCAGACCTAGATTGGTCTGATGCTTAGATGGACATTTAAATGCTCTAAGAGATGCTTGGTTAGAGTAGAGGTATATGTCCTGAGTTTTGGATTCTAGCTCTATGATTTAATTTCTTCAGTGGAAGTCTAGAAATGGAAATAGGGCTTTTTTCCTCCACAAGTATTCCTCATATTTATCAATTTGTGGTTTACAGCTTCAGGTTTTACATTTTTTTCAACAACTCAGTGTTATATCCAAGTAATAGCTATGTATTTTACTGAGCCCCAGGAGAGTGTGAAACTGCTTGGAAAGGTAAGAGAGGGAAAATGGACAATATGTAGCTGCAGTGTGGATCTGCAGCTCCTGAGAGGTTATAGAGAGGGGATTGACAGAGGTTGGGTCAGGTAGAGAATAACCAAAGGTGACTATGCTTGAAAAGTATCTCCCAGAATATTGTGGAAGCTAGGGTTAGCCACATGCACCTTGGGAGAATTTGCTACTGTTCATACTTTAGGATGAATTTGGTCAGCTCATCACTTGGGTGTTGCTGGAGCTCAAAAGACATGATGCTCGGGAGGAAAAAAGATGCTCTTTAGAGTAGAAGGCAGTCCTATTTGGGTCAGAAACTTGGAATGTGCCATTTGTTTGAGAGAGAGAAAAGAAGAGACAGGAGAAAGAAAAGCAGCTCAGAAGGAAAAGGAATAGCAGCAAAAACAACCTTGCCTGCTCTGCACATTAGCTGATGTGTCACCCCAAATGAAACTAAAGCCAAGTAAAAATATCTGAACAAGTTTGAAAGATTCCATGTCTTGGCCATTCCCCTGCATATCAGCTTCAGCCTTGCTGGGTATTTTCCCATCTATGTCTTGACCCTGCTCTGCTTGCAGGAAAGTGGACGGGGCAGAGGGTGAGTGGAGAAAAACTGGTTAGTTTGGGTATCTGCTTGTCCTTCATCCAATGGATTGTTGAGAAAATCAGTAAGATGATGACAGGTGCGATCAGTGATATTGAATAGTTACTCTGGCAAATATGTCACCAATTCACGCAAAACTGCAGATATTCGCATATGCATATTTTGGATACTATGATCCACCTGCTATCGTTTGATCATATTTCTTCTTCAGCCTCCCTTAGTTAATCAGCTGTATTGTTTCAGAAACAAATGACTCCTACTGCTTATAACTATTACTGCTACTTCTACTGCTGCTTTTAGGACATTGACTTTTCCAAAGACTCTTTCCAAATCTTAGAACATTTTGAACTGCAGTCAGCACTATTCCATAGGACTTTCTGTACTGATGGAAATGGGCTATAGTTGTGCTGTCTAGTATAGTAGCCACTAGTCATATACATGGCTCGTTAGCACTTGAAATGCAGATAGTGCAATTGAGGATCTGGATGTTAAATTTTGTTTAAATCTAATTAGTTTAAATTTAACCATATGTGGCTTCTTGCTACTGTATTAGACATACATGGTATATATTGCTATAACTTTCTTTCCCTGTATTAATTGAAAAATATTTATAATTTTAATGTAATTTTAAACTACCAGAAATGTTGCAAGAATAACATGGTAAAGGGCGACCTTCCATATGCCCTTTACCCAGATTCCCCAATTGTTATTTTTCCACAATTGCTTTATCTATCTAGAATTTTTAGTGATCATTTGAGAGTAAGTTTCAGACATGAAGCCTTTTTGTCCTAAATATAATACAGCAGTGAGTATTTTCTAAGACCAAGGACATTCTTTTACACAAGCATAGTACAGTAATCAAAATCAGGAGGCCGGGCGCGGTGGCTCAAGCCTGTAATCCCAGCACTTTGGGAGGCCGAGGCGGGTGGATCACGAGGTCAGCAGATCGAGACCACCCTGGTCAACATGGTGAAACCCCGTCTCTACTAAAAATACAAAAAACATTAGCTGGGCATGGTGGCGCGTACCTGTAATCCCAGCTACTCAGGAGGTTGAGGCAGGAGAATTGCCTGAACCCAGGAGGCGGAGGTTGCAGTGAGCCGAGATCGTGCCATTGCACTCCAGCCTGGGTAACAAGAGTGAAACTCCGTCTCAAAAAAAAAAAAAAATCAGGAAATCAACACTGATACAATGCTAGTATATAACCCAGTGGTTCTCAAAGTCTGACCCCAGAGCAGTATCATCAGCATCTCTAGGGAACTTGCTAGAAATAAGAATTCTTTGCCTCTACCCCAGCCACATTGAGTCAGAAGCTCTGGGGGTGGGGTTCTGGCAATCTATGTTTTGATAAGCCTGCCAAATGAGCCTGAAGCATGCTGAATTTTGAGAATCACTCTTCTAATTCAGTCTATATTGTCTGACTTACATCCTTAGAAAGGGCAGTTCTATAAGATTTTTGTTTTTGTTGCACACAATCTCATCCGGAATCATCTGTGTTAATTTTTAAATGATGGGTAGTTTCAGTGGGCTGAGCTGTTCTCCCGGGAGGGGCCGTTGCCATGGTGATGGCTGGCAGTGCTGAGAGACAGCTGTGGGGCCGCCTGGGCTCTGTGCGCCGCTGAGCTGGCAGGTTGCCATTTCCCTGACTCCTGAGGAATGATTTGCACAGATTGCTCCGTTCTTGTTAACAGAGATATTTCTCATCTTCAGACTCAAATTTACTCTTAAGTTGCACAGGGCTGGTGTTATCTTCTTTTTATTAAGGTAAAATAATAGTATAGGAAACGGCAGGTGACCAAAATTGCACCTCATAGAAAAATGCTATCACCACCATTGAAATGGCTGATCTCTTTATCTCCAAGTTCCCACTTCTGTGATTTAATCTGGGGCCTGTCAAGACCGAAATACATAAATGCATTTGTGAGTCCTCTGCATCTACTACCCAACCCTTTGGACACATACATTAGATTATGAGTGTAAAACAGCAGACAACTGAACTCTCATAATTTCTGGTCAAGATTTGACCAAATCTTTGATGGGGAGTAGTTCCAAAACTACCAGAATGGCAGAATATTTCAGATATTGATGTCTTCTCTTCTCCTTCACATAGGAGGGAAATGGAACTACTGCCCATCCTCCACGGTTTCACACCTTTTCATCTTTGCTTAGGCCATATCCTCTGAGAATGCCCTTCTTCCTACTCCCACATCTTCAGATCTTGCCCTGACTCCTCAAATTATTGGCCACTGCCAGAACATCAGGAGTGTGCCTACACCTGGCTCAGGGGTGATATAATACATATCCTGAAAAAGTGACTGCAGGATACCCTCAAGCTGTGAGGACCAGGAGAAAGCAGGAATCTCCAGTAACCCCAAACACAACTTCTCTCTGCTTTTCCACCTTCAAATCTGGGTAGGACACCTCCTCCCACAGTCACATTTACTGCCACCTCCTCTCCCATAATCAAAGGTTCCAATAAACAAGCTTCCTTTCCCATAAACAAAGCCTTTGATAATCTCCTGGCTAGAAATCACTCCCCACCCCAATCGCAATCCCCCAACTCTCACAGCGTCTTTCTCTCTCATGGTGTAAACCACAGTTTACATCCTGTGAACCATGTCAGACTCTCAACGTGTGGGACTGATCTTTTTTTGATTCATTTTTCTATCACATCATGGACCCACATAGTGAACCACAAAGAAGTTAGCACTCAAGACATTTTTTTAATGAATTCTTTACCTTCTGCTTCCTGCTGCCTCCCACCTCATTTGTGTCAGACACTGATGGTAGTGATAAAATATTGGATCCTTCCACCTGTTGTATATGTTAGAATTATGTCCTGACTTACTGTGCTGATGTACGTAACAATGCGCTATACTGGAGACCTGTGAGATACTGCCGGAAAACCTTCCTTTTGGGTAAAGACAAGGCATCTCCAGAAACCTAGGCATTAAATGAGTAGACATACTAGAGAATAGGTGAGATCACACATCTACAGGAGAGGGCGGCGGTACAGAGAACAGATGATATCAGGGAAAAAAAGGCAGAAAATGTTGGACTTGCCTTTTTTCTGCTTGGTGATATTAATATAGGTAAACAACGGTTCTATCAATATAGTGCTAGTTCTTAACATTGGCTGCATCTTAGAATCGCCTGGAGGGCCATCAGAAATCCTGAGGCCTGAGGCCCACCTCTAAAATGTCTGATATAGTTGATCCTCGGGAATGGCTCAGGCATAAGGTTTTTTGTTTGTTTGTTTGTTTTTTTAATCTGTAGGCTAGAAGCCCAAGCTGATGTTTATTCATTCATTTTGTAGTGCTAGAAACTGGCAACTCTGGGCTAAATCTAGCCCATAGACCTAAACCTGTGTTTTCCTTAACCTTCGCAATATTTAAAAATCAGAGCCCTTCACATAAGTCTACGTTTTCAGCTTCTTTTAGCAGGAATGCTCCTTCAAAGGGTATGTGCATCCCTGCTTCCACCGCCCCCAGCATTCCTTGTCCCTTAGCTGCCTGGCT